AAAAAAAAAAAAAAAAAAAAAAAAAAAAAAAAAACATAACATCGAAATTGAAAACACATACACACATTCTCGCATATACACACACACACATATGCATATGCACATGCACATACAAACATACACATAAATACATACAGGCACTGTAAACTGAAAAATTGCATGATTTTTTGTTTATTTTAAATCAATTGATCAATCGGTTGCACGATCCATCAAACATTTATTTATCAACCAATCAATTAGTCAGTCACATACACGTATTAATTCATGGCTAATGCACATACACATTTGGAAGGCTATGCTCCTCCTCCTTTTTTTCTCCTCTCTCCTCTCCATCAAAAAGTTTTTTTTTAACATCAGGGGGCAGAAGGGGGAATTAACTCTTCGTTGTGCGAGGAGAAAAAAAGGTCAAATGTTTACATTGGGCTAATGCATTTGGGCACTAAAAGATAAATTTATACCACCTCGAAATGCTAGTTATTCTAGCATATTTAGCTTTGTACGGTTGTTGTTCTTTCTGATATTTAAGTCTTGTAATCAGTTGTTTTGCTATTTGCTTCATTCTGCTTGTGTATATAACAATCAGATCCGTAATATGTTATTCATCTTTTCGATATGTGCAAGTTGTAAATTTTTGCAAGGAGTTTCTACAGACAGTTACTGAACCATATAGTTGTGAATGGATGATAAATTTTATTTGTTTTAAGTAGAGTTTTAAATTTTTGACACATATTCTCAAACTTAAGAGTATCGAATTTATTGAGATAGGCATTCAAACTTGTAAAAGTTTATTTAATAATCAAAATTGTTTTCAAACATAGAAGAGTAGCACACGTGTGGTGGTAAAACCCTTATAGGGGCCTTCTCGTCGAATGCCTTGCCTTGTGGAATAAACTTTGTATGATTGGTGATGTTAGGTAAAAAAAATTATAGAGCGTGATCGTAAAGTAACATAAATTAGGTCCCAAGTCGCTAGAGTTTTGGTTGCACCTCTTGTGACCAATTTGTTGATGTTCATTGATTATCAGATCCAAATCAACTTGTCTGGTCCTTGAGTGTTATAATTGATCATTTCGATACTACATTGCAACCTTCTTTATCTTCAACATGATTTGAATTGTTTGTTTGATTTTATAAGGTGTATAAAACTTTGTCTAAACCACAGGATATGCGTAACATAATAACTTTTTTTTAGTGCATAAATGATCGTTATTTCAAACCAAGTATTACATCGATTATTTGTTGCTTGATTTTCATCAGACCCATGGTCCATAATCATATTAGCCTCGAGTCCTTAGGTGGGACACAATTAACAAGCACAGCCTGCAGACCTATGATATAGCCCCACAAAAATGTGCCCTGATCATTATTATATGTAAATTATCGTTATGACTGGATACAGCCATGATGGGAGCGGGTTGCGTTCAGGGGAGAAAATGGTGGTATGAAGGGTTCACTTAAGAGTGTCAAAAGTGCCCTGTGAATCTGGATCATATTAAACCACCACTACCCCTGCCGTCCTAAATTTGGTGACTAGTAGCACAGGTTCATGAGGGCTATCGGTAGCACAGGTCCATGAGGGCTACCGGTAGCACAACTTGAAGTCCATGAGGGCTATCGGTAGCATAGTCGGGGGAATTGACGGAGTGGCAAAATTGGAATATGCAACGAATTGCCCCCGCGATTGATTTCGAGGTTGAAATGATTTTTATTTTATTTTTTAATATTTTTTTAGAAAGATCACGATGAAATCTGCGGAGCCTCCAAGTTTAGGACTTTTTAGAGTATTGTATTGGACATGAAAAATCGCCGAAGTTGGGGTACTTTTGCCGTTGGCCGACACGTGATATCGCGACAAAAATGAAATATAGGACGAAATGACCGACATTTATTTCATGGTTTTAACTATTTTTTTGAAAATTTTAAATATTTTTTGTGAAAAGTCCACGACAAAATTTATAGGCATGTGAATTTGCACAGTTGTTGACTCATCCTTATGAGCGCAAAAAAGCGTGGAAGATGGGGTATGTTTTCCGTTGGCCCACATGTGCTAGACTGACAAATATGAAAAATATCACCAAACGGCGCGATATTTATTTCACGGTATATATATATATATATCGTCACAAACAGAACTGCCCGGTAAACCGTAGGCAGAGAGAGAGAAGAGGACAACAAACGAGGGGTTGTGACAAACTGTTTATATATATATGCCTGTACGTACGGAGGTCTCCGGGCAGACCTGTGTACGTACGGGCGTTCGAGGTTCCGTACGGGGTCCGAACCCGACGGCGTTCAGCCCCCGCCAAAAATTATTTCGGGGCCTAAAAATAATTATTTTTTTCTGAGTTTTTTTTTTGCGAATTCTCTATGACGTTAGTTGGACTTTTTGGGCCCGAGCAAGAGTGCGATTGCTGGGATTAGGCTCGTCGACGACGTGTCAATTTTTGTGGCTTATAAGAAGGGGGATAGGCGGTCTAGAGCCAAAGCGGAAAGCATAAAATTGCAATTCGAAGGATGCTTCCCCAGAAACCTCACCCTGAAACGGACTGACGATGGGGAGGGGGTTCTGAAACTTTCTGGGATGTCGCATGAGGGTCAAGCAGTCCTTTCCTTATTTGGGTACAGTCCAGATGGTAAAGAATGAGGGAACAATCTGGACGGACAGACCGATAGTAATTCGGACTAGACAGGACTTTAGGTCCTGGACTTGTCGCCGGCAGAAGGTGGCGGCTGTCACCGGGGCCCTCCACCGAGTGGATCGTAATACGACGGATCGTGGGCAGATTCCGGTGCATGTTATTTTGTTGCGACGTGAGTTTCGGGCCAAGAACTTTCCGAAATTGTTTTTGGGAAAGTCCTCGATACTTTTGCAAAGCCGCGGGGAGGCGTATGGAGTCTGACGGCAGCATTGTTGAAACTAGCATAGGGCTATTTTGGACGGTATTGTCGGAAATGTTAGGAAGTATATAGCGAGTGTTGTTTTCTTTGTTACTCCTCTTCGACAGCGGGTACTTTCCTAGTCGCCGGGTTTACTTGCTAGCCCGAACGACAAGGCAGCAAGAGTTCGTCGGGTAGCGTTTTGACTGGCGGGTTTGGATGGGAGGAATGAAGGGTGGGATGACGAGCTCGGTGTGGCAACGGGGAATTTCGCAGCCACTTGCGAATTTTTGTTAACGCTGTGTGTTCATTGCTGTCATTCGTAATAAGCCATATGGTTATGATTACTGCGTAATTTGCACTTTGTGTGGATTCGTGATTTGGTTGTGTCATGTAATGTTGATGGCGCACTCGTTAACCGACGGGGAAGATCACCCTGGATTGGTGTTCGAGACTTGGTGAAAGTGTAGTATACAAAGAAGGTGAGGTATTTGGTAACGAGACTGTGGTCGGAAGTGAGTTGAAAAGTTGGGTTGCGAAGGAGAGGGGGAGAGATAATGATGGCCACGACAGAGGAAGGTAGTGGTAGAGGGGGCAGTGGCGGTGGGGGAGGGGGAGAACCACCGAGGAGAGGACCACCGATTTGTTATGGGTGTGGGAAGCCGGGACATTTCAAGTTCGAATGTTGGAAATATTCAAAAGTGGATGAAGGAAGGCAGGGTTCCCCCATACGGAAATGGGAGAAAGGGGCATTGTCATCCACGAGCAATGGTGGTGGTGAAGAATTGGGAGCAGTGGGCAACCTGGTGAAGTTGTTGCTAGCAAAAGAGGAAGCGAAGGAGGTGAAGCGACAGGAAAAAGCGAGCCGAAAGAAAGCGAAGGAGGAAGAGAAACAACGAGAACGTTTGAAGCAGGAAGAAGAGGAAAGAAAGCGACAGGAGCAAATCGAAAATGAGCCGGGACTCCCAAGGATCGTTCAACAACAGTTGGCTCAGTGGGGACCTCCACCGAATGTGGAACGTCATGAGGGAAGGAGAAGGAGACGTGGAACACGGAGGATACCATATCATCCGGATGGATGGGGACTGTGGGAGGATGACGTAGAGGACTTGAGGCAGAAGGCGGCTGGAATAACGATCAGTATAGAAAAAACGGAAAAGGGAAACAACGGATGAGGAATCCCTTTCGACACCGTCGTCGCTGATCAAACATCGGACGAGGACAAGAGGTAGATCGAAAGGAACAAATAAGAAGATGAAGACCGGGCTGAAGCCAATTACGATGAAGAGTTTGAGAAGGAATTCCGATCCAACGAAGAAAGGAGCAAGTGTCGGGATGGGTAAAGAATCGAGGACCAAATTCGTGAAGGACACGAAGCAGTACCTGGACGGCATGGACTATAAGATTATTCAGAAGATGTGTAAGGTTGAGAACCTGCCTTATGTTCGGAAGTCGCAAGCGGTGAGTGCGCTGGCAGAGAAAAGAGCCATGCTCGCTTATGACCAGGCGGGAGATGAACCTGAGAAGGATAAGTCAAAGGGAAAAGAGGTAAGTGATGTGTCAAGCGATAGCGAGTCCGGATCATCTGAGAGCTCGGCGACTGAATGAAGCCTGCAACGTCGTCAATCTTTGTGGAATAAATATTGAAAGCTTGTGAACATGCGAGAGAATCGGGGTGGGGTCTGTCCGCAGTTAGAAGGGGCTATCCGTGCTGTAGTTGTGGGTCTTACCTTGTGTGGAGCTGTACCTTGGGGAAGGAAGTTTGTTGATGGATGGGTTAGCTTGTGTCAGAAGGATGCTAGTTTTCTCGAGAATCCCGAGGAGTGTGTGTATGTCACGATTTCGCGCATTTGTAAAGCTGTCTATATTGGGCGAACTGGGAGACGACTGAACGTTCGATGGTCGGAGCACGTTGGTCGTATCTATCATGGGTCTGAAAGTGATGCACATTTTCATCGATGGATGAGAAATTTTGGTAGTCATAAGTATGTATTGATACCAATCTATGTTGCCCCGGCCGCAGAGTTGCCCACCATTGAAGAATTTTTTATTCGGAAATGGTCTCCCTCCCTGAATGTGTTTTGAGCGAAGTCAACGAGGTCGGGATCTAGGAAGGCTAGGAAGGGAAGGAAAGAAAGACGGAGAAAGGAGGGGTTGCCGTTGGATTGGATGAATCGGAGACCCAATGTTTTTCTGCAGTTTTCGGTTAGTAATAAAGAGGCAAAGACAGTGAGTTTCGTCAAACTACTGGGGAAACAGTTGAAGGCGGGGAATGTTTGTTTTACCTTGGAATCTACCAAGGGTAATTGTTGGGAGAAGATGAGGCGTTTGTATGGTGAGACGGAGTTATTAGTGGATGTATGGTGAGACGTCTGTATGGTGAGACGGAGTTATTAGTGGATGGGAAGATCGTGAAGTTGAGGAGTTGTAAAGCAAATCTGGAATCCGGCGGGAAATGAAAGGTGTGGCGCCTAAAGAAGTGGGAGAAAGGATGTAGGGGGAAGAAAGGGGATTTGCTGTCCCTGTTAAAATACCCAGAGCGGCGAAGGGAGCTGCCCCGTTTTCCGTTGAGACTACTTACTGACTTGATTGGAGCTGCAAAAGAATTCTCGCGGAAATCCACGCGTAACCTACTTCGAAGAATCCTCTATGGAGCAATCAAGGCCAAATCAGGGGTGAATCTGTATAGCAAGTTAGTAGTGAAGATGAAATTCAACGATAGGATAAATTTGGTGGAAGTCAGACGTCTGTGCGATAGGAAAATTGATAGTCTGGGTTTTCCACAGTACACTAGCGACATCTTAAAGCGCAAATCTCGAATTGTTTGGACTAAAAATCCGACGGTGGGGGATTTGTTGCACAACCATCGAGATTTCGCATCTTGTGAGGTTGCTGCCTGTAATTGTGCAGGGTATGACTTGCCTCGGGTGGAGGGGCATGTGAGATGTCGGTTCGGTGAACTGGTGGGTGTAAGCCAGATGTTGTCAAATGCGAAAAATGTTCCTAGGTGTCTGAAGAAGGAAAGGGTGGGGAGTTTAAAGGATGAAATTGAGGAGGGGTTCTCAAGTTGGAAACAGGGTAAGTCAACGAAAGTGGTTCTTCAAATGAATGAGGTACAGGCTTGTATGAATGAGAGGGTGAAGGTAAAGGGAGAACTGTGCATTGACGAGGTGTTTGAAATAAAACGAAAGTTCGAGGGACTTGTGGTCGATCGGAATCCAGGGGAGACTTGCATCATGTGCCCGCAAATGTATTATGAGGGAATGCGGGAATTGTTTGTCGAGAACAAAGGCTTTCGGATTGAAACACTCACGGAAGAAGAGTTTTGGGTCGAGAGTTATGAGGAGTATGTGAATGAAGGACTCGGGCATCTGGGGAAGTGGAAGAAGACGGGCGAGGGCGGGAAGAGTTATGTAATTCCTAAACACAAGGATTTACAACTTTTTCGTCCCATCTGCCCAACGTTCAATGAGCCGATGAATGTGACAAGTAAGAAGGTCGCAAAAACATTGAATTTGTTGTTGATGACGCTGCCAGAAAATGACCATTTTAATCTGCAAGCTGTGTCTGGACTCACGGACAAAATACATAAGATAAATCGAAATTTCAGGAAAAAGGGAGGTGACACACGTATCCTTGCTGCATCGTATGATGTGAAGGATATGTTTTGCCGCCTACCCCATGCGGATATCTTGGCAGCAATTGATTGGGTCATTGAGAAACATTTGATCAAGGGAAGGAGAGTGGTGAGGGTAAATCCAAGGGGTACATGTGCTGTGTTCGATTGCAAGCAGAAGGAAGGGTGGTGGGTCGTGAGTTTGAGGGAGATTAGGGATTTTGTTGAGTTTGATCTGAAGCATACGGTTACAAGGGCATCCAGGTTGTTGTTACGACAGTGATTGGGGTTCCGATGGGCAAGAGCACAAGTTCGCCACTCGCTTGCATCATGTGTGTATATGCGGAGTGGTGTTACTTGGACTCTTTGGGCCCAAGCAGGAGTGCGATTGCTAGGATTAGGCTCGTCGACGACATGTCGATTTTTGTGGCTTATAAGAAGGGTGATAGGCGGTCTAGAGCCAAAGCGGAAAGCATAAAATTGCAATTCGAAGGATGCTACCCCAGAAACCTCACCCTGAAACGGACTGACGATGGGGAGGGGGTCTGGAACTTTCTGGGTTGTCGCATGAGGGTCAAGCAGTCCTTTCCTTATTTGGGTACAGTCCAGATGGTAAAGAATGAGGGAACAATTTGGACGGACAGACCGGTAGTAATTCGGACTGGAAAGGACTTCAGGTCCTGGACTTGTCGCCGGCAGAAGGTGGCGGCTGTCACCGGGGCCCTCCACCGACTGGATCGTAATACGACGGATCGTGGGCAGATTCCAGTGCATGTTATTTTGTTGCGACGTGAGTTTCGGGCCAAGAACTTTCCGGAAACGTTTTTCGGGAAAGTCCTCGATACTTTTGCAAAGCCGCGGGGAGGCGTATGGAGTTTGACGGCAGCGTTGTTGAAACTAGCGTAGGGCTATTTTGGACGGTATTGTCGGAATAGGAAGTATATAGCGAGTGTTGTTTTCTTTGTTACTCCTCTTCGATAGCGGGTACTTTCCTAGTTGTTAGGTCTACTTGCTTGCCCGGACGACGAGGCAGTGAGAGTTCGTTGGGTAGCGTTTTGACTGGCGGGTTTGGGTGGGAAGAATGAAGGGTGGGATGACGAGCTCGGTGCGGCAACAGGGAGTTTCGCAGCCACTTGCGAACTTTTGTTAACGCCGTGTGTTCATTGCTGTCATTCGTAATAAGCCATATGGCTATGATTACTGCGTAATTTGCACTTTGTGTGGATTCGTGATTTGGTTGTGTTATGTAATGCTAATGCTAATGCTGCACATGCCTGTAAATTTTCAAGTCATTTGGCTAATTCAAATAAGAATTAAAAATCGCCAAAGATGGCGGTGTCAAAACATGCTCGCCCACGTATTTTTTCTCTTTTTACTTTCTGTTTTCACTTTAGTTCGGGGTCTAAACAATTTTATTATTTCTTGAAACTTTTTTAGTGGGTTTTGTATTATGTGAAGTACACATCTGTAATTTTCAGGGCATTTAGCTGTGCCAAAAAAATAAAGAAAAATCGCCAAAGATAGCGGTGTCGAAAACATGTCCGCGCACGCATTAAAATTAATTCTTTTTTTATTTTTATTTTTATTTATTTTTATTATTAGTATTTGTTTTTCGTATTTTATTTTAATTTCAAATCGGGTAAGGAATTCGGATGTAATGCTCAGGCAAATTGTGTTTAATTTATTTTTCTCCATAACATATTTTTTTTTCAGATTTTTTGGATGACTTAGTGTTTTTTTTTTTTGGGTCCGCGTTCGGCCCGAACGGCCGAACGCATCCCCAAGGGGTCCCATACGTTCGGGCGTTCGGGTTCGGGCGTTCGGGTTCGGGCTTTCGGCCCGTCCCGAACACCGGTTACCCTGTATATATATATATATTTAGAAAGATCACAATCTAATCTACGCGATCTAAATTTTTCAGATTTTTTTGGTAATGATTTTGAGTGAGAAAAATCACGAAAGTTGACGTTTGAAAATGATTGGATTAACAACAATTTCGTCAAAACGGATATTTTTTTTTAATTAGCGAAATTGAAACCTTTTTATTTGGCCCAAACAATATCATCGTTTGTCTCATGAGAGTCCATTTGGACTCAACTGAAGTTCAGGTACATCCAAGGGGGACCCTAAGGAGCTAAAATGGTGACATTTCCAGGGTCAAATAAGTGAGTTTCAATTTCGTTCAAAACATATAAAATGTCTATTTTGACGAAATCGCTGTTGATTGGACCCGCTTGCACATGCCAGTCGCCCCCTTCCTTAAGTAGCCAATCTATAAGGCCAGGGAAGGTGAATTTAGGCCGACGGAGGTAGTGGTGGTTTAAGTGCTACGAATTTTGACATTTCTCTCCGATGACCTTTTTCTTCGCATTCTCTTTGGAGCATCCTTCTCGTTTCCTTTTTCATCGAGTTTTTTTTTAGGGTTATGCGTTGTCGTAGCAAACACCCTTACAATGGTATTTGCCGTCCTTTTTAAAGGTTGCACTAGGTGCGTCCTTGATCAGCGTAATGCGCTAATGGGGCAAATCCCGATAAAACGCTCACCTCGGCAACCTCGCTCTTGGCGAGATTCCAAGTCGAATACGACCAAATTAGAGAGTGTGGGGGGCACGCATTAATGCGTTGCACTGTGAGGTGGTCGATAC